CCCTGCCCATGGCACGGGGTTTGGACTAGATGATCTTTAGAGGTGCCTTCCAACCCAAACTATTCTATGATTCTATAAGATACAGGAAAGGTAGCTGAACAGGAGCAATTGCTGGCTGGAGAAGAGAGACTGTTTTAGATCCCCAACCAAGCACACCTGATTGGCGAGAGCTCTGAACAGTTTCTTCATGCTGTGCAGCAGCCTGGAAGAGTTGTCTTGGAGCAGGTAGGAGTGATGGGAAATCTGGTTCGTGAAACGGCTACCTTTGCCAAAGGCACCTGGGTGTGATAAGCACATTCCAAGGCTAATACTAAGTGTGTCCTAAAAAGTTTATTTTGATAGGAGGTTCTCAATGTGGCATGTTAAAAAAAGTGATTCTCATAAGCCAGCAAGAAGGACTGGAGGAAGGAGTTTCAGACATCAATACAGTCCCATTCTGCAGCCTGTTTAAGCAAAACTTTCTCTCTAGCTGACAGTGAGGTGATATTAAAAACCCAAAAACCAAAGGAGGTAGACAGAAGGTATTCTCATGTGCCAGAGAGTTAGCTGCATCAGCTATGTGTGCATTTTCATGTTTCAGCGATAGAGGAAAAGATCTCGCATAACAAGGCGATGCAGCATTACATATGCCCTAAGGTGGCAGTATACACTCAGGTAGCTAACCCGGAGTTGCAGACATACTGTTACTCTATGCTAACATATAACGGGCCCTCAAATCTTGTATTTGATATATAGTCACTTCCGTGTAGTCTTTACCTTCTGCTAACATTTCAGCCAAACATGTTTTATCTGTATAACACTAATATAAAATGCTATAAAACAACAAACCAAACCCTTAGGGCTAACGGCATGTTCATAAGAGTTTAAAAGTTGTGTCACTGGATTTTGAGCAACACACAAACACCCTTTCATGTCTATATGAGTCCAGAGACTGAAGTCCACAAGTTCAGCCCATTCCAAAAGCAAGTGTGAAAAGAGGTATCTATCAGGAGAAAGTAAAGCTAAAGTACAGAGTTGAGAGCCAAGGTTGTATGCTGGAAACGATACAGCGAATATCCCCAGTTAGGGGAATCCACGATTACCTCTTTTGTAAGTCTACAAACCCTGGCAGTCAGAATGTACCTCTTATTAACCACCCAAATCCTTTTTAAATTCATTGGTTTTGCCTACAAAAACAATCTGCTGGTGTTGAGAGGCAGATTTTTTTTTTTGTGCATGGTGTGAAAAAGTACTCCCTTTTGTTTGCTTTAAGCTTGCTGCTGCCTCATTTCAGTGTTAGTCATAGGTCAAGTATTGGGAGAAACTGCATATCAGTTCCCCTTTCACCTTCGCTACACTTTTCAGGATTTTATAGACCTCTGCCACAGATCTTCTATCATAGTTCTTTTCCTAGGTTTAGCTATACGGTTTATTCCATCTCTGCTTTTCTAGACTGAGTGTCCAGTTTGAGTCCTCTTAAAAATGCTTCATTTTTACTGCGTGAGATTCAGCTTTTTCTGAAAAATAAGTCCTATTTCACTGTTTTGCAAAGTCAATATCTGAAAAACTTACTTAACAGGAATAGTTATTTCTAAAAATAGAAGCTATGATGTTACTCTGCAAACCACAAAATATATTTGAATACACATTTAAAAAAATCTGAAATAAATGCAACATTCATTTTATAACAATAAAGTAACCTAACATACTTTATGATACCAGTTGATACTTTAAATAAGGAGCATCACTGGCCTAGGATACGCAAAAAGAATGCCACAAGCTGGAGAAATGAGCCAACAGGAGCGTCATGAAGGTCAGCAAAGGCAAAAGCAAAGTTCTGCTGCTGTGATGGGATAACCCCATGCCACAGGATAGGCTGCACTCCAGCTGGACAGACAGCAGCTCTGCAGAAAATGACCCGGGGTCCTTGTGGACAAAAAGTTGAATATGAGTCAGCAGTGTGCCCTTGCAGCCACACAGGCAATAGCATCCTGGGCTATACGAGTAAGAGTGCAGCCAGCAGATTGAGGGAGGTGATCCTTCTCCTCTTTTCAGCACTTGGGAGACATCTGAAGACATGTACCCAGTTTTGGGCTTTCCAATACAAGAAAGACATTGATGTGCTGGAGCAAGTCCAGCAAAAGACAAGAAGATGGCTAGGAGCTGGGGACCATGATGTACAAAAAGGGGCTGAGAAAGATGAGCTTGCTCAGGATTCAGAAGAGAAGGTTAACAGGAGATCTTACTGCTGTCTTTAACTACCTTAATGGAAGGGTATAAAGAAGACAAAGCTGTACTATTCCGAGAGATTGACAGTGACAGTCCAAGAGGCAACAGACACAAGCTGCAACATGGAAAATCTGAATTTGATATAATAATAAATTGGATATAATAGTGTTTTCACTATAGGGGTCATAGGAGATATTCAAAACTTGACAAGACGTAGAATGGAACAACCTGAACTAACTGGACTTGCTTTGACTAGGAGGTTGGCTGAGAGGCCTGCAAATGACCTTCCAACCTAATATTTTATGAGTCTATGACAATTTAAAACATAGAGAATCCTTCTTTAAAGAAAAAAAGACAGGAACATAGAGGAAATCAGCAGTGACAAGGTGGACCACAGGATGAGCGAAGGTGTCCTCAAATGAAAGTCTGCCTTGCACCACATCAACAGTCTTGAGCAGAGGCCCTGAGCAACCTGCTCTAATGTCAAAGCTGGCTTTGAGCAGAGGCACACAACCAATGGGGAGTTTCCCAGAGCTAAATTCATTTACAACACTTTCTCTATTTTTATACTGTGATATTCGGATGCCTTCACTGAAAGGAGTACTGGCACCTCTTTGCAAAGCAAAAGCAGTTTGAAATCCTTTTACCCACAGAAAGAGACCTTTCTAACAAAACATGTGTTACAACTTTTCAGAGTATGTAAAAGCCCGCAAGAATGACAAGAAAAAACAGACTACGACCCACCTGAGTTAGCTTCTTGTGAGCAGTTTACTCAAATAACCATAATCATGTTGGGCATCAATGGTCTCGGATAGTGTAAAGCAAAGTCTAGCTTCATGAGCCAAATGGAAGCCTGGTGTAAGAGATCTGGCACAGTCACATCCCACTGGAGGAACTCAGAAGATAGTTTTGTGTATGGTTGAAAGAGAAACTCACAGAGAAGAGAATTTGGGATGTCAAGGATTAGGTTCTTTACATGCTGGAGAAAGTTCATGCGGTCTGTATGGTCTGTGAATATCCTGGGGACATAAGAAGGGGGACTGGGACACTGAGTGGCTTCAAAATCTAAACCACATGGCATTCCTCGCAAAAAAAACCACGGAAGGGACTGAAAGATGCTCAGCCAGAATCTGCCCACAGGGTATTACTGGGTCTGTAAGGACAGCATCAAACTTGCTCTCCTCAAGATATCTGACAAGCTCTTTGTTGTATAGTAAGTGTGCACAGGTAGACAGGAACATGGCAGAAGTATTTTTTACTCCTTCATATGTTTTAACATTTCTTTCCAGAAAAGATCCTTCTTCAAATACATCCTGGCTTGTCGATCCATCTCTTCCTGTGTGAAAGGGACTGGGTACATTTTCATAACAAAATTCGTTGTTGGCTTTATGTGTAAATTTATCTCAGGTGCAACCACACCTATTTCATGTCCCTTCTGCCTGAGACCGTCCAACACTTCCCGCCTGCTGACCCAATGACTCCCATCCACCGGCACCACCAGCAGCTTCCCACCAGCAGCCAAACTGAGTACGGACAGGAGCAGAACCAGTGCCGCCGTGACTTGCGGATGAGCACTAAGCACCGGCGCCATTTCTGCAGAAATCTGGTGAGTGCTGCACAGAAAGAAAACCACTGGCAGCACTGAAGCAATAGCACCAGCTCCACGCTTTTACACCATCTGTGCTACAGCATAACTTTTGATCCTTCGAAGTATTTGCTGTGTGGTAAATGTATGATCACTGATTTGATAAAAGGATGGATAACAAGCAATAGAGTTCAGCAATCTACCCAGGTGGGTGGTAAATGTTGTGGATGCACCAGATAAGCCCCATCTGTTTCTACTAGGAAAGCTTTGGCAGCTCTACTGCCTTTGAGCAGGATCTGCCAAGCCACCATAGCCCCTTCAGGCTCATTGAGATTGATTTTGTTCTCAGATCTCACATAGCCATTACCAAGCGAAATCTTCTGAGGCCTGCCTGTAAACAGAGATGGTGTTTCTTAGCCTGAGAGTCCACAACCTGCGACATTCCTGCTGATTCCAGCTTTGGAAATACCCATGTGAAGGAGCAGACAAACTCATTGACAAAGAAAGAAGTGGTAAGGCAGCAAGGATGCCCCAGGACAGAAGCCTCATGTGCATTTCTCCATAAATACCAGACCCTACTACAACCATTTGCAAAGTTGCAGGGATGGTACCTAACTGTAAGGCTTTGACAGCCTCTCAGACTTGCCTGCTGCTCATCCATCACTAAGGGAGAGAGTACCAAGTTACTCAACACTACACAAAATGGCTTCCAAATACGCGTAATGAAAAAGGCATCAAATGAGCGTACTTTGTAAGTGAAAAGGTATAGCTGCATATATGGAAAATGGAAAGTGAGGAAGAATGTGAGCGAAAAATAATTTATTTCACAAGTATTTGTCTAACTCACCCTAAACGGGAACTTGATTCCTATCTGCAATACAAAATTCCATCCTTATAAACACAGAAGTCTATCAGAGCAAGAATTAAAAACAGAGCATGACCCACCTGAGGTAGCTTCTTGTGAGCACAGTTTACTCCTCCAATGAAAATTATGTTGGGCATCAAAGGTCTTGGATAATCTAATGCAAAATCTAACCTCATGAGCCAAATAGAAGCCTGGCGTAAGAGATCCGGTACAGTCACATCCCGCTGGAGGAACTCAGAAGCCAGTTTTGCATATGGTTGAAAGACAAAATCACAGAGAAAACCTTCACTGAAAGGAGTACTGGCACCTCTTTGCAAAGCAAAAGCAGTTTGAAATCCTTTTACCCACAGAAAGAGACCTTTCTAACAAAACATGTGTTACAACTTTTCAGAGTATGTAAAAGCCCGCAAGAATGACAAGAAAAAACAGACTACGACCCACCTGAGTTAGCTTCTTGTGAGCAGTTTACTCAAATAACCATAATCATGTTGGGCATCAATGGTCTCGGATAGTGTAAAGCAAAGTCTAGCTTCATGAGCCAAATGGAAGCCTGGTGTAAGAGATCTGGCACAGTCACATCCCACTGGAGGAACTCAGAAGATAGTTTTGTGTATGGTTGAAAGAGAAACTCACAGAGAAGAGAATTTGGGATGTCAAGGATTAGGTTCTTTACATGCTGGAGAAAGTTCATGCGGTCTGTATGGTCTGTGAATATCCTGGGGACATAAGAAGGGGGACTGGGACACTGAGTGGCTTCAAAATCTAAACCACATGGCATTCCTCGCAAAAAAAAACACGGAAGGGACTGAAAGATGCTCAGCCAGAATCTGCCCACAGGGTATTACTGGGTCTGTAAGGACAGCATCAAACTTGCTCTCCTCAAGATATCTGACAAGCTCTTTGTTGTATAGTAAGTGTGCACAGGTAGACAGGAACATGGCAGAAGTATTTTTTACTCCTTCATATGTTTTAACATTTCTTTCCAGAAAAGATCCTTCTTCAAATACATCCTGGCTTGTCGATCCATCTCTTCCTGTGTGAAAGGGACTGGGTACATTTTCATAACAAAATTCGTTGTTGGCTTTATGTGTAAATTTATCTCAGGTGCAACCACACCTATTTCATGTCCCTTCTGCCTGAGACCGTCCAACACTTCCCGCCTGCTGACCCAATGACTCCCATCAACTGGCACCACCAGCAGCTTCCCACCAGCAGCCAAACTGAGTACGGACAGGAGCAGAACCAGTGCCGCCGTGACTTGCGGATGAGCACTAAGCACCGGCGCCATTTCTGCAGAAATCTGGTGAGTGCTGCACAGAAAGAAAACCACTGGCAGCACTGAAGCAATAGCACCAGCTCCACGCTTTTACACCATCTGTGCTACAGCATAACTTTTGATCCTTCGAAGTATTTGCTGTGTGGTAAATGTATGATCACTGATTTGATAAAAGGATGGATAACAAGCAATAGAGTTCAGCAATCTACCCAGGTGGGTGGTAAATGTTGTGGATGCACCAGATAAGCCCCATCTGTTTCTACTAGGAAAGCTTTGGCAGCTCTACTGCCTTTGAGCAGGATCTGCCAAGCCACCATAGCCCCTTCAGGCTCATTGAGATTGATTTTGTTCTCAGATCTCACATAGCCATTACCAAGCGAAATCTTCTGAGGCCTGCCTGTAAACAGAGATGGTGTTTCTTAGCCTGAGAGTCCACAACCTGCGACATTCCTGCTGATTCCAGCTTTGGAAATACCCATGTGAAGGAGCAGACAAACTCATTGACAAAGAAAGAAGTGGTAAGGCAGCAAGGATGCCCCAGGACAGAAGCCTCATGTGCATTTCTCCATAAATACCAGACCCTACTACAACCATTTGCAAAGTTGCAGGGATGGTACCTAACTGCAAGGCTTTGACAGCCTCTCAGACTTGCCTGCTGCTCATCCATCACTAAGGGAGAGAGTACCAAGTTACTCAACACTACACAAAATGGCTTCCAAATACGCGTAATGAAAAAGGCATCAAATGAGCGTACTTTGTAAGTGAAAAGGTATAGCTGCATATATGGAAAATGGAAAGTGAGGAAGAATGTGAGCGAAAAATAATTTATTTCACAAGTATTTGTCTAACTCACCCTAAACGGGAACTTGATTCCTATCTGCAATACAAAATTCCATCCTTATAAACACAGAAGTCTATCAGAGCAAGAATTAAAAACAGAGCATGACCCACCTGAGGTAGCTTCTTGTGAGCACAGTTTACTCCTCCAATGAAAATTATGTTGGGCATCAAAGGTCTTGGATAATCTAATGCAAAATCTAACCTCATGAGCCAAATAGAAGCCTGGCGTAAGAGATCCGGTACAGTCACATCCCGCTGGAGGAACTCAGAAGCCAGTTTTGCATATGGTTGAAAGACAAAATCACAGAGAAAATGCTGGAGAAAGTTCATGCGGTCTGTATGGTCTGTGAATATCCTGGGGACATAAGAAGGGGGACTGGGACACTGAGTGGCTTCAAAATCTAAACCACATGGCATTCCTCGCAAAAAAAACACGGAAGGAACTGAAAGATGCTCAGCCAGAATCTGCCCACAGGGTATTACCGGGTCTGTAAGGACAGCGTCAAACTTGCACTCTTCAAGATATCTGACAAGCTCTTTGTTGTATAGTAAGTGTGCACAGCTGGAGATTGCCAAATCAAAGAATCTTTTCATACTTTGGTATAGTTTAATAAATCTTTCCAGAAAAGATCCTTCTTCAAGTACATCTCGTAAAAATGCCTGGAAATTTTCATCCATGTCTTCCTGTGTGAAAGGGACTGGGTACATTTTCATAACAAAATTCGTTGTTGGCTTTATGTATAAACTGATTTCAGGTGCAATGACGACTATTTCATGTCCTTTCTGCCTGAGACCGTCCAACACTTCCCGCATGCTGAGCCAATGACTCCCATCCACCGGCACCACCAGCAGCTTCCCTCCAGCAGCCAAACTGAGCACGGACAAGAGCAGAACCAGTGCCACCGTGACTTGCAGATGAGCACTAAGCACCAGGGCCATTTCTGCGGAAATCTGGTGAGTGTTGCCCGGAAAGAAAACCACTGGCAGCACTGAAGCAATAGCACCAGCTCCGCGCTTTTAAGCAGTATGTGCTACTGCCTAACTTTTGATCCTTGGAGGTATTTGCTGTGTGGTAAATGGATAATCATTCATTTGATAAAAGGTTGCATATTAAGCATTAATTCCAGCCAAGTTCACAGGCGGGTTGTGTGTGGTGGACGCACCAGGTAACCCCCATCTGTTTCTAGAACAGGAACAGTAAAGAGTGTCCCAGGAAGGAGGCAGGGGTGGTTCTGGGTGGGACTGCACTTCTGATAGCTTCCCTCTGGCTGAACCTTTTGCAAGTGCAGGAGATGTGTCACATCCACATCACTATTCAACCTAGTAGAGGCTACTCCCTTCCCCCTGGACAAAACCTGCCCCCCACCTACCCACCCATCTCTTTGAACACTCATCTCTAGGAGGCCTATGGCCCCATAGCAGATGTGGAAGAGCTGTTTAAGACTGTTTCTGGAGTGAGAAGGCTGATGAAGATGGAAGCACGATGCCAGGTTTGTCCGCAGGACACATCACCCACACTAAGCGGTACTTCCAGTGTCTGAGACCTGCCTCAGGGGATGGAGGGGCTGGCTTTGTGAGCTCAGAGGACAGAGCAGAGATGTCTGAACACTCACTGAGGGGGACTTTCCATGAAACAATTCAGGGCCTAATTCTGGCTTCTTTTTTGTCACTGGCAAATCTTGCATGGTGTCCAGCAGCAGTGGAGTTGCGTGAATGCTCAGGTGGCAAATTACAGTGTGCGTGAGGACGTCTGTAAGATGCCACAGCCACCTCCGCCACTTGGAGATGGGTGGAATTGCCACACAGGGTTGGTGGCCTCACCCCATGGCCAAAAGTCCTAAATAATATGACTGAAGAGAAAGCCAGGGCACCAAAAAGAATAGCACAGCTCTCCAGGCTCTCCCACAGAGCAGCAGAGGAGGCTCTCCAGTAAGAACTGCATGCATTGCTATCTTCTACGTCCAAGGCATGCAAAGCACATGCCACATCTGAGAGGTTAGCATAATCACCAAGGCTGCATCCACCCCCTCAGTGTTAGTCATGCTGTGCTGGACGTGTCAAAGCAGATCTGCTCCATGGCTCCATTCATTAGGACTAGGGTTTTGAGCCTGGAAACAGCTTTTAAGGTTTTGTGGGCCATCCCATGGAAGCTGCTCATAAGACAAATCCAGCACTTTGTCCTACTGTCCAGAAACACTGGCAGTCCCATTCGCTGGTGGATACAATGTCCCATCACAGACCTTCACTAGAAGAGCCTAGAGTTTCTCTTCAACTGAGCATACTTTATAAATGAAAAGATACAGCTGCCTACACAGAAAATGGAAAGTGAGGAAGAATGTGAGCGAAAAATAATTTATTTCACAAGTATTTGTCTAACTCACCCTAAACGGGAACTTGATTCCTATCTGCAATACAAAATTCCATCCTTATAAACACAGAAGTCTATCAGAGCAAGAATTAAAAACAGAGCATGACCCACCTGAGGTAGCTTCTTGTGAGCACAGTTTACTCCTCCAATGAAAATTATGTTGGGCATCAAAGGTCTTGGATAATCTAATGCAAAATCTCACAGTCACATCCCACTGGAGGAACTCAGAAGATAGTTTTGTGTATGGTTGAAAGAGAAACTCACAGAGAAGAGAATTTGGGATGTCAAGGATTAGGTTCTTTACATGCTGGAGAAAGTTCATGCGGTCTGTATGGTCTGTGAATATCCTGGGGACATAAGAAGGGGGACTGGGACACTGAGTGGCTTCAAAATCTAAACCACATGGCATTCCCGCAAAAAAAACCACGGAAGGGACTGAAAGATGCTCAGCCAGAATCTGCCCACAGGGTATTACTGGGTCTGTAAGGACAGCATCAAACTTGCACTCCTCAAGATATCTGACAAGCTCTTTGTTGTATAGTAAGTGTGCACAGGTAGAGACAGTAATGGCAGAGGTGCTTTTCAGTCTCTGTTATAAGAAATCTTTCCAGAAAAGATCCTTCTTCAAATACATTCCTGTGAAAAAGAACATATACTTCCATCCACCTCTTCCTTTGTGAAGGGTATTGGATACATTTTCATAACAAAATTCGTTGTTGGCTTTATGTATAAACTGATTTCAGGTGCAATGACGACTATTTCATGTCCTTTCTGCCTGAGACCGTCCAACACTTCCCGCATGCTGAGCCAATGACTCCCATCCACCGGCACCACCAGCAGCTTCCCTCCAGCAGCCAAACTGAGCACGGACAAGAGCAGAACCAGTGCCACCGTGACTTGCAGATGAGCACTAAGCACCAGGGCCATAGCACCGGCGTCTGCAGAAATCTGGTGAGTGCTGCCCAGAAATAATATTCCGAGCTCCACCTTTTTAAGCAATCTGTGCTGTGCTTTCTTGGGATGATCTTTAGACTTATTTGCTGTGTGGTAAACGTATAATCATGCGTCTGGCAAAGATGGAATAAGTGGTTTTAAAGTGCAGCCAGTTTGGCAGACAGTAACCAGAGCAGCAGCTAAACTCGGAAACACCCACCTCTTTGTATTGGAGGACACTGGGATTTAAGGAAATGAGGGATCCTTCAACAAGTGGTCTGCTCAAAAGTGTTGATTAACAGGTCATTAATTTTCCAAACAAGAATTTTCAGTATAAGAAAACTCCTCCCCTCCTGCCAGCCCAAATCACTTTCCTATTTGTAAAATATTAGAAAAATATTAATGCTCACATGGGAAATGGTCTGGTTTCTTTATCAGTTTTATATCTTGACATTGTAATGAAAATGGAAAATTGGCTATCAAAGTTCCTTTCCCTGAAAGGCCTCTTTTTGGAAGGATGAAGTAGGGGCTGGAAGGAGGAAGGACAAGGGCATGTTTTTTGCCAGATATATTTAAAACGGGATTAGCAACTCAGAAATACCGTTCTAGATCAGCCTGGGAAGAGCATGCCCCAGGGCCATGAAAGCAAACAACGCTAATGCATAGACAGGATTTGCAGACAATCAGTCCTAATTATGAGAATTATTGCACAGAAGTAATTTTGACCATACAGTAATTTACTATGAAGGTTGATAGTATGCACCAGAATTTTTTTAAGGACATTTACCGGACTACTGCAGCTCTAGGTACACCTTTTATAGGGAAACTTCTCAGAAGGCAGTGTAAGCTGTTGCAGATGCTCAGTGCTGGCTAGCAGCTACAAAAAACTCCAACAGTTTTGCAGAAAATTTTGTAAGGAATCCATGCAGTAAAAGGATAAGCCTAGACTGACAAAGCAACCAGAACATTACCTGCTGACTGACGCGTTATGACACTTTATTTCTAAATTATGAAAGGATGGTTCTATTACCCAAAAAGATTCACTGTTTTTAAAAATCAATTGTGACAGTAAAACAAATAGTTGCAGGTAATAATACCGATCTGGCAAATACAAGCAGCAGACCTGCCTGGTAAGACAGGGATCACCCTCACTGGTGGGTATGTGCCTCATTAGCGAGAGTGCAGTGGTAAACTACTTCCACCTAGCCCAAAGAAAACAATTGTGTAAGCAAAAATGCTTAGATCCTGCTAATGCTATAGAAGAGTACCTGCAAGAGTGGGAGAGAATTAAAATCAACCCAGTTTTTCACCTATTTTGTCTTTACAGTATACCTTACTGCCCTTATAAATCTCACAAACTCATGTATACAATTATATACACAGAGAACATTTGCAAACAGCATTTTCCCTTCAAACCTTAATATATTTTATCAAGGGAATCACTGACCTGAGACAATGGCTTTTTCTTTCCACAGTTTATACCTCCAATGAAAACTATGTTGGGCATCACTGGCATGGGATACTCAAAAACAAAATCCATTCTTTTAAGCCAAATGGATCCATGGCTTAAGAGCTCCTTCATTGTTACTGGTCTGTGGAGAACATCTGAGGCCAGAAGTTCAAATGGTAAATAGGCAAAATTGCAAAGAAAGGATTCTGATGACTTGAGAAATAAGTTTTCCACGCGCTGGATAAATGTCATGTGGTCTGAGTTGTCTGTAAATGTTCTTGGGACATAGGAAGGGGGATCTGGACAGTGGGTAGCCTGCAAATCAAAACTGCAGGGGAGTCCCCGTAAAAAGAAAACGGATGGGATAGAGAGATGCAGAGCCAGTATTTGTCCACATGGTACAACAGGATCCGTGAGAACAGCATCAAATTTACTCCCTTCAAGATATTGCATCAGATCCTTATTGTGCAGTAAACTGGTACAGGACGAGACGTAGAGACCGGAGATGACTTGAATTTTTTCATAAAGCGCAGTAATTCTTTGAAGAAAAGGTCTTCTCTCAAAAAGATCATTAGCAAGTGAATGCATGCTTGCTCCCAGTTCTTCCCTAGTTAAAGGCACTGGATACGTTTTGAGAGTGTAATACTCAGATGCTTTCACGTTCAAGTTTACTTCTGGTGCAACAACGACAATTTCGTGCTCTTTCTGGCTGAGGGTTGCCAGCACTGAGCGCATGCTGAGCCAGTGACTCCCATCCATAGGCACCACCAACAGCTTTCCACCATCGGCCAAGCAAAACAGAGACAGGAGAACCAAAACCCCCGCAGAAACTAAGTAACTGTATTTACTCACATGAGCCATGTTCCTAGAAATCCAAAGTTTGTTCATCCGCCCTGACCTAACAGATCTCAAGTAGGACCACAGCCGCCTGCCAGATTCTCACATTCCCCCTTAACGATGCAGCTTTTCCAGCAAAACCAGTCACCAGTAACCATTCAAGGCATTGATGAATCATTTAAGGAACGTGATAAAGGTATCTGAGGCTCCCTTGGGATGAGTCCTTTCTGATTGATTCCCTGTGCTGATTGATGTTAGATTGAAAATAAAATCAGACTGCAAAAACAAAATCCCAAGCCTTTGAATAGTGCTGGCACTTGGAAGTAACTGGGCTTGCTGAAAGCAGGTGTTAAAATGCTTTCTTGCTTTCCTTCTTTTCTTTCTTTCTTTTTGATAAGCATTTTACAGCTGTTCTGGAATGCTTGTCAAGTTTCTGTTTAAATCAAATTATAAAATTATGCTACTATACAGCACGATATCTGTGCAAATCCTAAGGAGGAGGCTCTATGATTTACATACAGCTCAGCACCGGGGCCAAGTACAACACCAGGTACAAATTTATTACAATAAGCAACACTGCAGCAGAGGCTTGCATCAGTGAAGGTAAACCACCGAACGCATGCTGTCATGCATGACACTTCCTTGTTCTCATCCTGACCTATGTCTCTGTGCCTCTCCCAATCATTTTCTTCTTCCAGGAGCAATAGGAAGGAAAAACCACTCAGTTCCCCTTGTACCTAATTAAATACAGGAAAGCCTGGACAGAAGTAGCCAGTAATAGCCCTCTTGTTTCAGGCCAGGAATTGATTTTAAATGGTAAGAGGTGGTGGCATTACTTCAGATGAAAAACTAAAAGTAAGTTACCATGTCTGAGCAGTTACAAGTACTTGTGATAAACTTGTCAACCCGCAGGATTATGTTTTGCTGTTAGATGTAACTGTGTGATTCAGAGGCATAATCAGAAGACAACATGAAACGAGGACTGAAGAATCAGTACTTCTGCAATAAATATTGCTGCTGGACTATGATCTTTAGCCCCTGAGCAAGGTGAGAATGAGGTTTGTCTTCAGAGGAGAGGCTGATTTTAAGCTGGAGCTGCCATATGGTCTTGCCTGCAGGCAGGATTCGTCTCCCTGCTTTCCCAGAGGATCTGCCTGGGTTTGTCCCTGAGGAGCCATTAAGCAGCTCTGATGGACAGAACAGATAGGAAAAAGCACTGCCCTGATAAAAGTGGCCATGTGAGGGGGTTGACGGCAAATTGAAAGAGACTTTTGTGAAAAAGCAAGATCTGAATACTAGCAGCTCAACAGAAATAAACAGTACTTTCAATGGGCAGCATCAGGTGAAGTACTGGGAGGAGTAAAACAAAGCCTGAGGGCTGTTAAGGTTGGCTCTGGGGAAAATGTGCCAGGCTTGTGAAATGCAAATCTATTTTGTGAAGCTTCACTCATTCATGTTCACAATGGCCTATGAATTTGGGGGAAGAGTAAGAGTGGTGATAGGCAGGAGGAATCTATTCCCTAAGACTCAGGAAAGGCTGGCAAGTGAAAAAAGTTCAAGGGAAGAATAGAGAAGAGTGTGTTTATTTTTAAGTAACGTTCAAAAAGGATAAAACTTTATCCTTTCCAGGAAACAATGTGATTTATTGCTGAAACGGCTGGATGACACTAACTACAGATTCATCATCTGCTGAGGAGAGCTGTCTCCTCCTATATCTCCTTTTCCACTTAATCTCTGGCTTCACATGAGGCTGTTCTACTTACAGCACAAGCAAGCAAGAATATACATCACATGCAGCAACAAGCTAACGTACGTCATGAGCACCAACAAGCTAACATGCATCACACACATGCCTTTATCAAGTGCTTTTTAGACCACAGATGCCCAAGCAACCACCCATCAACATTTCCATATCCAAACTGGATGTCTCCTAAAAATACAGTTGAGAATTCAGCTGTCTAGTTTCTGTGATGGCAGCTGTTGTTAGACCAAAACCTTCACTACGAAATATTAGCCTTTGACTCAAACACAAGACTGCTGTTACAGAAAAAGCACATGATGCTATTGCACATAAGTCAGCAAATTACTTTTCTGACTGGATAGGCAGCTAATGCTCTTGAAGAAATATTCTACTATCTCTTATGTGAGGCAAAGAATTTTTGGAAAAGCTGTTATAATTCACCTGCCCTTTTTGCCTTAATTCCTGGGCGAGGTGGTGTTTGTGGAACTGACTTCAGCTGGAATTAAACACAGCATAGCACGCGATTCCCTCACCGAACAAAATCCCCGTGTTGGGCAGACTCAAGGAAAGGATGTGGAATCACATAATGTTTTCCTGGTCAACTATACCACTCTGTTTTTCATGTGGATTGGCTATATTGAAAGTGTTAATCTAAATTATCTCTTTAGGTAAGAAATGTCCATATCAAACACACTATTAGACCTCACCCAGATCATGCAGGTGTATGACTGCCAGAACTTTTCCCTTGTTACACCTTTCCCAGCCAGTCACTGACCTGAGATAATGGTTTCTTCTGTCCGCAGTTTATGCCTCCAATGAAAATCATATTGGGCATTACAAGCATGGGATAGTCAAAGACAAAGTCAAGTCTCTTCAGCCAAATGGATCCATGACTTAAAAGCTGTGTAATTGTCATCGGCTTTTGGAGAAAGTCTGAGGCCAGGCTTTCAAATGGTGAAAAGACCATACTGCAGGTGAAAGACTCTGAAAGGCTGATCAGGAAGTACTTCGCTCTCTGAGGGAACGTCATATAATCTGTATTGAGTGAGAACATTCATGGGACATAGGACAGTGGGTCCGGACTATGAGCAGCGTGAATGTCTACAGCACACAGGACGCCCCGCAAGAAGAAAACAGTAGGGACAGAAAAGTGCAAAGCAATTATCTGTCCACAGGGTGTCAGAGGATCTTTAAAGATGGCATCAAATTTACTTTCTTCAATGTATTTCATCATCTCTTTGTTGTACAGTAAGGAGCTGCAGGAAGCTTGAAACATGGCAGAGCTTTCTGAAATTATGCCAGGTATTCAAAAATCTCATCAGGAAAGGCTCTTTGCTAAAACAGTTTGCACTAAGTGAGCACATAAGTTCTTCCATCTCTTCCTTTTTGAAAGGTACAGGATACGTTTTCAATTCATATATCCCTGAGGAATCTATCAGCATTTTGCTGTCTGGTGTGATGACAACTACTTCATGCCCTCTCTTGCTCAGCTCAGCCAGCACTTCCTTCATACTCAGCCAGTGGCTGCCCTCCACTGGGATCACCAGCAGTTTCCCAGCAGTGGCAGGACTCAGGCAGCACAAGAAGGGGAGCAGCACTGCTACCAGCATGTTGCGAGTTGGACGGACAGGAACCCATGCACAAGAGAGGCCGGGGTGGTTCGCAAGCTTTTGTAGCTATGCTCCACCTACGCAAACACACCACTTGGCAATGCTTTCTAATGATACCTCTGCCCTTTTGACTTACCTCACATTTCAGGTGTTCACAAGTTTGCACACAATGGAGTCACAGTAGGTGATTAATGATTATAAAAGGTTAAGATGAGGTTTGTACTTCAAAAGTGAGTCTGCATGAGCATGAGAAAGGCGTGTCTCCTATCATACGCTTCGCTCACCCAAGCTGCGACTACAGCTCAGTGCCTCAGCCTTCTCTTCTCCTTCCCATAGTAGGACCACAGCCTCATGACACTTCTTACCATCAGCAACCCAGCAACCTTTACTGACATTTACTGACAGCATGCTCTAAGGTATGTGGGAATCCATGAAGGAAATGCATCCACAGAGTGGATGGACAGAAACACTGCTGGGATTACCCCACATGGTAGTACTGGATCTATAAAAAATGCACCAAAATTACTTTTTCCATCTAGCGTTGGAGTTCTCTATGTCACTGAAGGCTGTCAGAGTTGTCACAAATGGTAGTAATTTGGTATTTTTTTATAAGTACTTTCTTTTCTAATGAAGCTGAGGCAAGTTGTACAGTGAAACATAACTTATAGTAAAGATAAATATGAGAAATCAATGTTAAAGTACCTGGGTTTTGTTTTTTGCCCTTTTTTTTTAATAACCAAAAACAGTTGGTACAACTCAGAATCATAGAATTATAGAATCATTAAGGTTGGAAAAGACCTCTAAGATCATTGAGTCCAACCATCAACCCGACACCACCATGCCCACTAAACCATGTCCCTAAGCGCCTCATCAAATGAATAAATAAAATGAATTATTTTTTTCATTGATGCAAACATACATGTTTTTGAAGATAAGTAGCCAACAGAAAATCTTTCCCCATGTCTACATGTAACTTCTATCTAATCTCTTATCCTATCAGGTATAAAACAAGTTGCAAAACAGCAGTTCACTGCTGTACCTCAGATAACATAAACCAACAACACGTTTCTAATTCATGAACTTACGAGTTCATGGCCCATGTCAGTTCAGTTCATGACTGAAACAGTTCATGAACTCTGTGGGTCCAGATCCTTCTCGGTTGTACACTGCTGGGGTTTTAAACGTTGGTGATGATAACCTCTCACCATATGAGTGTATAAGTAGGTGTCTGGGCAGGTGCCTTTGGGATACAATTTGCTCCTCCAGGGCATTCAGGGCTCTACATCATCACTGGTGGAGCTTTCTTTCACGTGCAGTTTCTGCATGCTTATTTTCAAGCCTGGTGGGAAAGCTTCGACCTTATTGAGAACCTGCCCGCCAAAAAGAGCAGCCAGCTCCATCACCCGCACTGACCCCATATCGGTAGTTTACAACATAGGATTAACTTAATGGGGATTTTCAAACAGCTTAGGAGAAGGTGATGCACAGAAACAGACCTGTTGCTCATAACCTCTGAAAAGGCTGTCAAATGAACACTAGAAGAAGATGCGTTCAAGCTAGACTGACAGATGAAGAAAGACAGTCATGCATGTCCCATGTGGGGCATTTACAGACATCTGCTTGGGTCTTTAATACCTGATCAGCAATCTTTCCCACTCCTGACTCCATGTCCT